ACAAAAATAACAAGACGTTATCATGTTGAACGCCTTGTGGCCATAACAAATTCATGGATTTATCAAAAAGTTTAAAAATAGTTTGATGGTTAGCTTTTTCTAATTCTTCTGTATTTAACAAAAATATCTCACCCGGTTTGTCAGTTAGTAAAACTCCTATAATGACATTGGCTATGAAGCGACCTTCGATGTCATTCGTCTCGTCAATAGATACCCATATTTTGTTATTTGATACGTGATTTTGTATTTTTTCTAATTTTTTCTATAGTATTTTTATAAAATTCTTCTACGTAACCTTTACGAAGAGTAGCTTTCTTTTGAATTTCTTTTCCTATATACTCTTGTAAAAATTCTCTACATTTTACATTTTCTAATTTGTATAAAGGAATATTAGCAAATAACATAGCTTCACATAAATCTTTGTTAAATTGACATTTTTTAGTTGGCAGATTAAATTCAAGAAGTTGTTGACTTTTTTTTTGCTTATAAATACGGTTAACTGACTTAACATGTTTTTCGGTTTCAAGATGTTGTAACACAGTAAAACGTTTTTGAGCACTAACTTTAACTTCACAAAGTTTACTAAATAGTACTGATTCATCAATTAAAAACACAGAACTACCGAATTCTGAAACATATGACTGTAGGCGACTACATGTATTTTTTTTTACTTTAAGCATTTTTAATTTAATCTTCAAAATAAAAAACTATACGAACAGACGAACTATACTAATGCAAGACGAAAACACATGATTCAAACGAATAAACGAATTGACATCAACTGACCGTATTCGGCGTTTTATTATCGACCAACACACACTAACAACACACAAATAATTGGAAAAATACAGTACACACACATGGTATAGATTAAATAATAATTTATATTTATTTTTATCTATTTTTTCCAATTTCTAGAAAATTCATATTAAATGTTGTATAATACATATGTATAAAATATTGTTTTCTGCCGAATATTGTCTTAATTTTAATAAAATGTGTGAAATATGCTTTTTAAATAGAAGTATAACAAAATATGCTCTTATAGGGAAAAAACAGCTGAATATGCAAAATATGCAAGATAAAAATGATTTCTTTAAATTCCTAGTACAATGAAACGCATTTTTATATCACTTAGCTATGTTTAGAATGATTATTGAAAAATATGCAAACTCCTATAAGTCCCTAGCCCTAGTCATGACTAATACTGTTTGAGTGTCCACATTTTTCGTTATTCACAACTAGACAAGAAAGAATTACTTTATTATTCATGTGTATTTTGTACTTCGTATATATTTTTAATAATAATTTTTATACACTTATATAGTTTGTGATAGGGAAATACTAGTAATTTTACTGGAAATGTGACCAACCATTTATGATTTTGGAGACAAGGACCAAGTTTTTATTTAACGGATGAATCCATAATTTTTTCTTTTTTATAATTCTGTTCTTAATTTTGTTATGTGTACCACATGCAAATTGCAACAATTCCATCAGATGACATGATGACAATTGATTTTTGTTTTTTCTAGGTAGGTAATGTACACTTGATAAAAACAAATTGTTTTTAGTTGACTAACACAAAAATGACTAACACTGTCTAACACAGTTTTGCCCTTTTGGTGTGCGATTGGCCTAAATCAATCGAGTATAGACAATCGACGAAACAATTCCTAGCAACCCGTGATAAATTGATAACATTTTACAATAATATAAATACAATAGTAAACAGAAATCCATTTCTAAAAATAGAATGCGGTATCAAGGTACTATGTAAACCACTAGAGGATCGCGACAGGAACGTGAGCTAGTTTTTTCGGAGCAGTTATCATAGCTAAAATTATTGATATTCATTATCATCCTGTGTTTGTTATCACTAATATATGATATCAAATAGGTAAATATTTATTAATTTATTATTTATTTGTGATAAACGAGTAATAACCTTTTTGTGTGAGCAATATCAGGTTTACATTTTAAGTATTTTACAGTAAGAACTAAAATTAAAACAATAATAATGAAAATCAATTGCAAAATAATAATAATTAGACAATGGTAAATGATAATAGTAACAAGAAACAACACTAAATTAATAATAACATAGTAATGGTTATTAATTTTCAACTAAGTTTAAAGTAAAATATACATTTCTATTAAAAATAATACGTAACATAAAGAAAAAATGTACATGATCAGTAATAAAATTTGCTAGTTTTAATGCTCTAGGGAAGAAACAAGTGGAGCTATAATTATTTTTGTAAAACGGTACATGAAATAAGTTTGAATTTCTTAATCGGTAATTTTTTATATTAAACTTTATCATAGAAAGCAGAAAAAATATGACCATTCAACATAAATAAACATTATATCTACAACTTTTCTTCTTACCTCACAAGATATAAGGCCCAATTCATTTATTAGCATATTATACATGTTATTTGAAATAAATGGAATATTTAATTTGTAACTCAATAATTTTAAGAATTTATGTTGTACATTTTCAATAAGATCAATAAATGTGATATAATTAGGTGACTAGACTGTCGAACCAAACTCAAGATGAGATCTAACAAGCGAAAAAAACAATGTTTTCAATGCATTCATATTTTTAAAGTTAGTTGTATTTCGGTTGATAAAACCAAGCATCTTAAAGGCCTTTTTAGCTATAGAATTTATATGAGAAGTGAAGGACAAAATGCAATCAATAGTAATCCCTAGGTCTCTAATTGAAGTAATTCTTGTGACGGAACAATTATCAATGTTGTATTAAAAACTAATGGGATTTTCGGAGCGTGAAAAAATAATAACATTAGATTTTTTGACATTTAACGATAAACTATTTTGGTGACTCCAAGTTACAAATTTATTCAAGTTTGCTTGCAATTTTAATGGATCTGACGGAGAATAAATCGTAGAAAAAATTTTCGCGTTATCAGCAAATTACAGTATATCGACCGTGTTATCAAAAAATAGAGAGTAAATCATTGATAAAAATTAAAAATAAAAGGGGACCTAAATGGGAACTCTGTGGTACACCAGAACTAACTGAGAAGTAAGTGGAGGCACAATGTGACACTTTCATCGCTTGAGTTCGACAAATTAAATAGGACCAATTTAAGATATTTCCATGAATTCCAAATGTAGATATTTTCTTAAGAAGTAAGTGATATTGGATCTTATCAAAAGCTTTTTGAAAGTCAGTATAGATTGAATCTATTTGGACATGATCATTTAAGGCTTTAAGTATTTTGGACTGGTAAAGTAGAATATTAGTGGAAATTGACATTTTTGGTCTGAACCCATGTTGGTTATTACAGATGAAAGGAGAAACAATTATGGATAATTTTTTAGTTATTAAGGCTTCAAATATTTTGAGAATAATAAGCAGTTTTGAAATTGGTCTATAATTAGTAATATTATTATCTCCTGTCATATGAATTGGGGTCACAAACGATTTTTTCCAAGAATCTGGAAAATAACTCGGGTTCAGTGATTTATCGAAGATAAAATATAGTGGTTTTAAAAGTACAGAACAACACTGTTTTAAAAACACTGATGGTGTACCATCGGGTCCTATCCTTGCATGCAGATCTAAAGAAAATAAATAATCATAAATTTCATCTGGACCAATAGACCAAGAGCTTAAATTAATATGATTAATATTTGAAGAAAGAGTGGATAACATTACATCAGAGCTCAAAAGGCTTTTTTCATAGACACAGGAAAAATAATCTGCAAATAATTTAACCGATTCAGAGGTATTGGTTGAAGTTTCATTATTATATTTCATACAGTCCGGGATATAAGTTTTCGTTTTTTTTATAGAATTTACATACTTCCAAAAAGGTTTTATATTTATTTGTAAACTATTTTCTTCATCCGAAATGAATTGATTGTGACAGATTTTAATTAATTGTTTACATTTTTTCCGAAGCTCAGAAAATTCTATATAATTGGCAGGAGAAGAATATAGTATATATATTTTATGGGCACATTTCTTTTTAATTATAAGATTTCTGAGCTCTGGATTTGCCTATACAGGGGAGTAATTATTAGTTGAGTAAATTTTAGTTTTTGGAATAAATAAATTAAATAAGTGATAAATAATTTCGTAAAAAGTATCAACTATTGCATCGAGTGACAGGTCCTTGTTAAAATTTAAATAAAAATCAATAATGGAAAGAAAAACAAAATATATCATTGAAATTACATTTTTTAAAATTGAAAATATACAGTGACTCATAAGAATCACTTACTGAGGAATATTTAAATTTAATTATCAAGTCTAAGGGAGGATGATATTCATCAATTGTATGCACTAGAGAATTGACCGAATGAGAGATAAACGTAAGTTCAGCGTCCTCACTAAGCATTAAGCAATCGAGTGTTCGACCAAGACGATTTTTAATAATATTACATTATTTTAGATTCAAAAAATTTATATAACTATTAAATATGATGCCACCAGATCTATGATTTTGTATATTTGGATCAACAGACCAGTTAAAATTACTTAAATTAAAATCACTAACTATTACAAAATAATGTTCAGAAAATTTAAAATGAATAGACTCAATTATATCACAGTGATTTGAATATAAATCAAAAGATGCATTTGATGGTATATAAACACAACTTATAATAATTTTTATATTGTTGACTGTAAATTTCAAAAATGTTTGTTCGATTCCAACTACAGAAGAAACAGTTAATAATTCGCAGTTAATATTTTTATTTATAGTAATTATTAAATTCCACTCCTCCGGGAGTCTTTCCTCCTGCCATACCATTTCAATAATACTATGTATTATTGATACTGTTTCCTCATCTAATTTTTTTAATATGTCTCCCTGAATCCCATCTTCTCCGGGAGATTTTTGGTTTTTTAACCTTAATATTTTCGTTTTTCATTTCTAAATACTCTACTTGCGCTTTTTTGACATTCTTTATACACAATTTCTTTTTCTATATTATGTTAATCATTGAGCCACTGGTTTCTAGCTTCTTTTCTCCGATTTAGAGCATCTTCGCACATATCGTTGAACCATGGTTTTCTTACAGCTTTTAATTTTCCGATTTCTGACTCTGTCACTAATTATAGTATCATTAATTTTCTTCCATTTTGCATCAATTGAGTCATTTATACCTTTATCTATCCTTCTGATTTTTTCCGACATCAGATACTTGAATTTTTCACTTGTATTCACATTGTTTAGTTTAGCTGTGTCATATTTGTCTACCACTGTTTCTTTTTTCCGAGTAACCTTTTTTATTTTGGCTTTCATTTTTCCTTTAACCAGATAGTGATCCGAATCACCATCGGCTCCTCTTATCGTTCTTATGTCTTGAATACAGTTTTTGAATCTAGCGCTCACTAGAATATGGTCGATTTGGTTGACATACCTTCCATCAGGTGACATCCATGTTTCCTTATAAATATTTTTATGAGGAAACATTGTACTTTTCACTACAAGATCATTTCCACATGCAAAATCGATAAGTCTTAATCCATTATCATTTGTAGTTTCGTGCAGGCTGTGACTACCAATTATTGGTCTGAATACAGCCTCTTTACCAATTTTTGGGTTTAGGTCACCTAAGACTATTTTTATTCTGTATTGAGGTTAGGTTTAATGTTATGTCCAAGCACACATAAAAACCATCCTTCTCTTCCTGCGGCTTATCTTCGGAAGGTGCATGCACATTTATGAAAGTTATGTCGAAGAAATGCGCTTTCATTGTCAACAATGAGATTCTTGGATTGATAACTTTGAATTCCCTTATATTTGGTATTAAGCTTTTGTGTACCGCAAAACCAGTTCCAAACTGGCGTTGTTCATTCATTTACCATAAAGTATAGTTGTTTCTTGTATATTTAAGGTTCCAATATCATTTCATCTAATTTCTTGTAGAGCATCTATTTTTAACTTGTATTTATCGATTTCTTTAACAATGTTTTGGGCCGCTCCAGGTTTGAAAAGAGTACATACGTTCCATGTCCCAAACAATAAGCCATTTTTCCGATTTCCAGTCTTATTATCCAAAGTTCCACGTATCCGAGGCATGTATATGTTTATTAGATCCTGAACAGAAGATTTTTTACCAGGCAGGGTTGTTAGCCCTGCGCTAAACCCCCAATCTGGAGGACCAGTCTACTCCAACCAATTAAGATCAGAGTAGGGAGAAATGAACCAACTAATTAAAGTTAGTTCAGTTCAGAGCTTGAGGCCCCTGGTTCGCCATATCCGTCGCACTCTTAGTGCTCCCCTGAGGGGGTAAAACATATTAATTAAAAAAAATTTTCAACACGATTATTAGGACGATCATTCCTGGAGACTATAGTTGGAGTACCTCTTACGTATCTGATGATTAATTCGCTTCCCCCTTCACTTGATCTACGAAACTCCAGCTCTTCACGAATTTTTTTTCATAAGTTTCTTCGATGTAATATACGGTCTGAGCTGATACCAATATTGGAAGACGGATAAAGTGAAAATAATTTTTTCTTTGATTTTAATATTTCGAAGACATCAGCTGATGAGCTAAAAATCGCTTTAATTGGACGAGGTTTATCACGACCACGGATACCCAAACGTAATAATTTTTTCGATTTAATAATTTTATCACCGCTAATAATTGAATCGATAAGGTTATCTACAACATTATGGTCGTGGAAAGTTTTGTCAACGGTGTTATCTAAGTTAGACTCGATAATGTTGTATAATATTAGATTGGAAGCTCTTATATTACGTTCGCCGATCTCATTAATGATGAATTCTTCGGAACAATGTGAAACATTTTTAGTATTATTTTTTTGATTTTTGAGTTCATTAACTTCACTTAGCAAACGGTTTATTAAAATTTTCAACTCTGGAATATCACGTAATCCATTATTGCAGGATTCGCAAAAGAATTTTAAATTACAGGTTTTTAGAGAAAGACATTTTATTTCGCCCACTGATAGACCGGTGCATGCAATATGAAATACTAAATTGCATCCATCACATTTAACGGGCGTACCTAGTTCAACGAACATGATAGAACAAATGAAATAATTTTGAGTATTTGTAGATGACATAGCTATGAATTAATATTTAATTTTAATTATAGAAAACTGTAATAACAAAAACACTATCAAGAGAACGCAAACCTTACTGCGTGAATGCCAGAGATAAACTGATAAAATATTATTTCTGTATTACTACATTATTATATTATATTATAATATAGTATATATAATAATATTATATTACGTAACTGATTTTTTCTATATACGACACTAAACTTAATGTTCTGGGCTTATAACACAATAAAAACATTATGTTAAAAAAGATTTATAACTATTCCAGCATCCAAGCTGTGCCGCAACTAGAAGTGGGACTGGGGATGGTCAGCACTGACAAGAGGCCTCAGCTTAGAAAAATTGAGGACTCAAAATGCATAGAATTTATTGTACTGTATACATTTGAGAGAATATCAAGACCAGTGGCACAGTAACTATTTTTCATTATTTTCCAAATTATAGTTTTGTCTCCTTATATCCGAGAGGTCAATTTCCCCCGTCTCCTTATCTGATGACATTGCATAAACATAAGGTAAATTGAAAAATAACGAATATTCTAATTCACTGTAAATATTAATAGAGCTAATAACGTCAGAATTTAAATTGTTTATCATATTGATAGATTTTATATTATATTTAGTAATAACAAACACAGGATGATAATGAAACTATCGTTAATTTCAGCCATGATAACTGCTCCGAAAAACTAGCTCACGTTGCTGTCGCAATCCTCTCGTTGTAAGCCACAGACTACGGTTGCTAGGATATCTAGTCCGTGATGTAAATTTAGCTTTATTTGTCGTGTCTTTTCATAGTTTATTCGTATTTTGATTGGTAATTGCAATTATGGACCATGGTATCAGTCAGTAACATGCATTTTTACCTCAAAAACAACATACTAGCATAGAACAACAACAATAATAGTAGGTACGGGCCATGGTATCATATGGTATAAATATATAATTATATAATTTAGCAATATGCATAAAAAATTTTTAATTGAATCTGAAATTTCACTATGGGCCTGGGCCTTGAGAGCACTTTTCCCCTTAAATACGCCACTGAGTCTCAGTAACTAGAGGACAAGTTTTTACGTTATTCATTAAGTCGCGTCCACACTATGCCGAATGATGTCGATCGGCATTATGGAATGTGTACGTGTCGCCCGCTTTTGAACCATGTCGGATTGAATCGAATACAACCCGAATCAAATCGATACGGGTGAAACAGAATCGAATCGACAACAGTAATGCGGACTCATCGAAGCACGTTGCTCGACTTTAAAGCAACAGTTGGTGTTATCAACTACAAAAATTGTTATAATCTACAAATATCAATTACATTTAGTATTTCAGTTCTGTTATTGTAAAATGTAATACAAGGAAATCGTAAATAAGTACATTGTGTTTTAGTATCCCATTAGTCATTCATTCTAGTAATGGGAATTATCATTCCTTTTATGGAATTGTTCCAATCAGTACAGTTACAATAAAGTACCCATGGGCGTAACTTGGAAATTTATTAGGGGAGGGGGCAAATATATAATAACATATCTAACGAAAAGGGTGTCCACGGCTAAACGCCGCTTTACTACCTGCATATTATTATATAAAATTATTAATTTTCTAACATTATGTTTAGATATTCGAAAATTGAAAATTTATTAAAATAAAAATTGTATAGTAATAGCTATAACCAGCTGTTTTGTACTTATTTTAAAACAAGGTATATTAAATATCAGAGGGGGCACTGCCCCTCCTAATTTATTCTAGGGAGTAATGCCTCCCTTACCTCCTTCCAGTTTACACCTATGAAAATACCGATTCCAAAATACTCATTACATCGGTACAATTTTTTTAGTTGTAATTACTTAATTAACTAATTGTTTTACTTGTAATCGAATTCGTTTACGATTCCACACAGAACGATAAAGTATTCAAGTGTACTCGATTACTCGTTCATAATGGATATTTAGGAACGAATACGTTTCGTACGCACATTACTACAGAAGAACATAAACCGATCAACCACATGGTGGACAATTTATTTACGTTGTAATACAAGTACGAGTTTTGTCGTTTTGAAATGGTGTTGGAACGAATACTTCTCGCCTTACTAGCCTAGCATTTAAGTATTAGCTGTACAGTGTCTTTTACACTGTACACGGAATTAATCAATATATTTGCCTAATTCTAAAATAATTATAGGGATAAAAATAAAAAATAAAATAATAGAATTAAATTTATTTATTCGTATGGCAACAGTATTTAATAATTACTATTTAAAAATATTAACATTTTCGTGTTTTAGTTGATAATCTATTACGTTTTTCGGAAATTATTTAGCCAGATTTTAAAAAGGTCCTTTCAATCTGATTTTGATGGTACACACAAACGCAGTAACATTAAATCAAATAAATTTGAATAATTATTTTTTCTGTCATTCCTCCATTTAAGAAGATCTGATTTTCGGTCTAATATAGATTTGTTTAAATATCTATCTAACTCAACAACAGCATCAGATGTTGGCGTGTTAACTGAAATTGAAGTTGACAACTACGAATTGTAAACTAATTATATAAACATTATAAAACAAATATCAATGATAATATAATTTAAAATAAATCTCTAACTATATGTTTTAATTTTACTTAACATTTTTATATCAGTTTAATAGATACCTGAGAGTTAAACTATTGCTAAATTTCAGAAGTTTCATTTTCACGATCGGTCGGTATGTTTTTCTCATTTTCTCATATTGGACTCTGATTTAAATGAATAATTTTTGCAACTCTGTATTATCTTTTCATATGTTTTTTTTTATATATATATACAGATTATTAAACGCTTTTTTTTTAAAAACGTGGGTCTAAAATGATTGCTTCTGTTAAAACAGGCTGATTGTCAATATTTTCAAATTTAAAATTGGTTTCATTACCATTTTTGAAACCATCAAATGAATAGCATTTGGTAAGTTTTGTTCTTTTTCTTTATTTTTATATGTGAATGTAACGCATTTATTAAAATTATTACTTTTGAAATTGAAATGCCATTTTCTGTACTTAGTTCGATAGTTACTTCTTAAAACGGTTTAAATACCGCACAGTAGTGTTTCATTCGTTCGTCGTGTACTAAATTATCTATATTATCTGTTATTGCAATTGTACTCGTAAGAGGTTCTTTAATATTGATACACCATTGAAACATGTCATACGTGGAGTTCCACCGCGTATAAACGTCTTGAATTAACTTTGATTCCGGGTACCCCATTTGTTTTTATGCATTTTTAAGTTTCATAATTGATTTTGATTTCGTACTTCGTTGAAAATACTCAACGGCGGTTTTTATTATTTTGTGATTGTTTTTTTATTTCATCTAATCCACATTGTGGAATTAGATTTAATATGGGCGCTAAACAGAGATATGGCACCAATTTTTATTAGTGCCGATGTTGTATTCACAGCATTGTCCCTCAGAGTAATTTTTACTTTTTTTATTATATCTCATTCTTTGAAACAATTATTTAAAAATAATGACAAATTTACATCTGTATGGGATTCTACTACGTTAAAACATCTAAGTAAAAATGATTTTAAAACACTCACTTCTAGATCTATAAAGTGTACAGTGACACCAATAAAACTATGATTATTTACGGAAGTCCTAACTATCAGTTGTAAATTAAATATATTTGGCATTTATTAAACTATTTCTAACTTTTTCTCTTCTTTATTCGAATAACTGTGGTAAAATAGATTTTGAAACAATTTTCCTCGATGGTA